GTGTTGCGGGAGGTCCTTCCGCCCCTCCAACCAATAGCTGCTGTGATACCAGCCCATTGGGGCGTGGTCTCTCTCCCTTTAAAAAAGCGGCTATTTCCTCTGCTCGCTCTCTTCACTTCCTGCTCTGCTGGAGACTAGACTCCCTTCCTGGTTGTGCAGATGGCTGTTGTCTGGGACGGTGATCTGTAAGTTTTCCCCTTTAAATAAATAACACCCTATTAATCATAACTCCAAACTGGTGTGGCCTTGTTCGTGACTTACGCCTTCAGGTCCCTAATTGATGGTATTGATGGGGTATGAGTGTGGCCTTGCTGAAGGAAATATGTCACTGGGACAGGGTTTTGGGACCATCAGAGCCTTACTTTGTTATTTCCAGGTTGCTCTCTCTGCTTTCAGCTTGCCAGTCCAGATGCCAGTTGCCACTTCTCCACTATGATGGATGCCAGTTGCCACTTCTCCACTATGATGGACTCCTTTTTTTTTAATATTTATTTATTTATTATGTATACAATATTCTGTCTGTGTGTTTATGCCAGAAGAGGGCACCAGACCCCATTACAGATGGTTGTGAGCCACCATGTGGTTGCTGGGAATTGAACTCAGGACCTGGAAGAGCAGCCAGTGCTTTTAAATTTATTTATTTTTTTTATGTGTTTGTGCACCTTATGTGTGTCTGGTACCTGCAGAGGTCAGAAGAAGACATCAGAAACATGGGGACTGGAGTTACAGATGATTGTGAGCCTACATGTGTGGGTGCTGGGAATTGAACCTGGGTCCTCAGAACAAGTGCTTTTAACCATAAAGAGTTAACTCTCCAACTCAAGGAGTAAAAGGGCTTTTTGCTTGTAGAAGTGTTTTAATATCTTTAGAGAGTACATTATGGCTTCGTTCCCTCTTTTCCTTTCTAAGGGTTTTGCTAGTGCTACTATTCCCTGTCCCCTAACTTTTTATTCCTTTGCTTTTTCCCTTGAGACCACACAGCTGTGGGAGAGGGAAGGGGAATGTGGTATCCTTGATTTACTTATTTATTTTTTGTGATGTTTTGTGATGTTATGTTTTGTGATGTAATAATACGGATGTCTTATTCCGTATTGGGTAGTTATAGCTCATTGTGTTCATTAGGCTCAAGGATTTTAACTTTGAGTTTTGAGAACATCTGTTTATTAAGGGAATTAAATGATAAGAATTAGAATGCTAAGCTTTAGATCCTAGAAAGTTTGAGTTGAAATTGGTAGAGTACTTTTACTGTAGTCTGAGAATTAAAATTTTGAGAAAATAAAGGCATACTTTAAAAACAAAACCCCTCAAAAACCCCCAAAAACTAGAGCTAGGTATGATATTTGCCTGTATTCCCAGCCCTGGGGGTTGGAGTTGGGGACAGGAGTAGGGGTGGGTTGAGGTCATCTGTAACTGCCTTCTAAGCCTCTATAGAGACCAGACATGGGTTTGTTTATACATAAACATGTAGGCAAACACTCACGCACACTAAAATTAAATTAAATTGAAACCAGAGTTTATAACTTGGTATTTGTACATTATTTTCCTTGATACTTTACAAGAAAATTTAAAAAGTGATAAGAATTAGTTGACCCGAGTTTACACTATCAGAAGAAATGAGTAGACGGTGGTAGTGCACACTGTGGTGGCGTAGACTTGATGGTGCACACTTGTCTTTATAGTATTGTGGAGATGGAAAGATTGCTAGCTGGAAGCTATTCAGTGAGATTCTGTTAAAATGAGGATTGATGTGGGATTTCCCTCTGTAATGCTGTGATTACCATTAATGAATAAAGAAACTGCTTTGGACCTATAGCAAGGCAGAACTTAGGTAGGCAGGGAAGATGGAACTGAATGCTGGGAGGCAGAGACCTTTGAGGAAATGGTTGGTGTAGGTGATTTAGGCATAAGTGGGTGTGTCAGGTTGGTAGGTGTGTCAAGCCAAAGTACTGAGGGTGTATACTGTGTCCCTTTTAGCTGGTATCTGGGAGATCAGAAAGTTGCTGATCTACCATGCCTTGCTTTCTTCCAAGCTGGACCTTTGTTCTGGGTTGGTTTCCATGACACTGGGCATGACACTTAACCGTCATACCTCAGTATCAGTGACTTCTCCTAACAAAGAATATTTACTGAACAATTGCAGGCTTCTTTTCTTGCTTTTTGAATAGTACAGGCATTTATGTGCATTTGTACTGTATTTGATCTAGAGGTGATTTTAAGTATACAAGAGGATGGATGCAGGCATACAGAATACTTCACACTTTACTATAAGGGCTTTGAGCATCTGTGGATGTGATCAGGAAGTGAGGACTATGGCTGGGATTGGGATCTAGAGGTAGCCTTCTCTTAAAGGGCAGCGCTTCTCAAAGTTTATTAGAGTTTTGTCAAATTTGGGAGTGTTGGGGGTGAGATAGGGTCTCACTTTGCAGCCCCGGGTAGCCTAGAATTCACTGTGTAGCCCAGATTAGCCTCAGACTCACAGAGATCTACTTGACGTAAAAAAGACCTTGTAAATGTTTCCTGCTTTATTATCAAATTGTGTTTGAGCAGTAAACTATTTGCTTTTCAGAAAGACACTTTTCAACTGTTCAGACTCAGAAGTAGCACTCCGGGAAAGGCATTCTCTTTTTTGCATTCTTAGTAAAATATGTTTGTTTCAAATGTTTATTTAAAGAAGGGATACAAACACAGAGTAAATGTGCTGTCCTTGAAACAGTGGCACACAGTGATGGACAATACGGCACTTGTTTGCATTATGTAGAGACCTCTTTGTTCATTCTTTTTTAATTTTTATTAAAATCTCTATTAAAATTACTCCTAAAATGCTACTGTTTGCTTGTGTGGTAATACATGTATTTTATTATCTACATAACAATAAAGCAACAGAAAATTTAAATAAACTTAGTGAGTTATCTATTGATGGGGAAGCAGGATAAATATTGTCGATGGCTTTTTGTTTTGTCTTTTGTCTTTGATGAAGAAAAATTTATTTTTAATTTTTGTGCATTGGTGTTCAGTCTGCATGTATGTCTGTGTGAGGGTGTTAGATCTTGGAGTTATAGACAGTTGTGAGCTGCCATTTTGGGGCTGGGAATTGAATCCTGGTCCTGGAAGAGCTGCCAGTGCCCTTAACCACTGAGCCATCTCTCCAGCCCCAAATATTGTCAATGATTTTTAACACCTATTTTATACCAGGAAGGGAAATTGATTTTATATTAAATTTTTAAGGATTATTATGCATATGAGTGTTTTGCTTACATGTACATATTTGTGCCAATGTGCATTCCTGTTGCCCGCATGTGACACCAGGTCATAAGAGTGTTGATGGAACAGGAATTGAGGATGGTTGTGAGCCAGCATGTGGATGCTGGGATTGACCTCAGGTTATCTACAGTACCAAGTGTTAACTGTTGAGCCATCTTTACTGCCCCCAAGAATTGGAATTTTAACAGAAAGTGAAACAGTGAAAATAGAAATAAGCAATCCTATTAAGTATATTCCTGGACAGAATAGAATATTAATATAGGGAAATTGTAATGGAAATATGCTGTGTGACCTATTGTACTGCCAGCTTTCTCAGAGGAAGATGGAGAGATCTTTCTTGAGGATGTTCGTATTTTTAGTGGTATACCAGTGAGGAGAAGGCATAGTATTTCTCCTTTGTTTTTGATTTAAATAGGTTTACTAAGGCTGGCCTTAAATTCTCTGTGCAGCTAAAGATTGAGCCGATCCTCCTGTGTCTGCCCCTCCTCCTATTTCCTCAAGTACTCAGAGTGGAAGTATTTCTCTCCACGTCTTGTTTGTTTAATTAGCATAAAACTGCATTTATTTGAAATCATGAAATCTATATTATTTCATCAATCTCATGTATAATTTCTTTTCCATCTAGATAAAAGTTGACATTCAGATAATCCAGAAAAGGAACAGCAAGTAGATCGAGATGTGTAGCTCCGTGACTGCCAAGCTGTGGTTTTTGACAGATCGACGGATCAGAGAAGACTATCCACAGAAAGAGATCTTACGGGCTCTGAAGGCCAAATGTTGTGAGGATGAACTGGACTTCAGGGCTGTAGTGATGGACGAGGTGGTGCTGACAGTTGAGCAAGGAAATCTGGGTAAGACTATATATAAATGCTCCTTCAGACTTTGCTTAGAATGTGGTAAGTTTAAATTTCTGCTGTAATGAGAAGTGAAAAGTGTCATCACTCACAGAGACATGGGAGCACTAGTATTTCCTAAATTGTATTATGTATGAAAGAGTGGAAAAGAAATCTTAAATGATGTTGTAGTTTTTATGTCTTTAATTCCTGTCTTATTTTTTTCCCTTGAGACAGGGATTCTCTGTGTAGCCCTTGCTGTTCTGAAACTTGCTCTGTAGACCAGGCTTGCCTAGAGCTCAGATTGACACCTGCATCTGCCTCCATAGTACTGGGATTAAAGGAGTGTGCCACCACTGTCCAGTTGAGAAACTGTGCCTTTAAAAAAACTATTTTTTTTAACTTATCCACAAACTTTAAATCCCTTTAAGTACTGGTAAGAAAATTTGTAATTAACAAGTGGGAATTCTGTTGATTAATTAGTTTCCATGTGATTCTTATTTTCATTTTTCTTACATAATATCTACAGCATTGATTGAAATAACTTGTTATTAAAAAAAAGAAACAGCAGTGTGCACACCTTTAATCCCAGCACTCAGGAGGCAGAGGAAGGCATATCTCATGAGTTCCAGGCCAGCCTAGTCTTCGAAGAGAGTTCCAGGACCTGTTACACAGAGAAACACTGTATCAAAAAAACAAAACAAAAAAAATTTGATTCAACTGGTGATAGATGTATTTCTAATATTTTGCATGTGTTCAGAAAATAGCCTGGACATGTGGTTCATTAGAGGTGAGGTCAGAATGAGCTGCAGAGTAAGAAAGAACCTGTTTCTACAAACAAAAATAAATAAATATTAAACAAAAATAAGAAAACCAGGTGGTTCTAACCTTTAAAAATGTCTGCTAAGTAACCAAAATTTGGGAGGTAGACTTGAACATCACTCTGGTTGTTGGCTTCACGGGACCTAGAATTTAATTTCCCAATATACATGCTTCTGTGCATTCCTGTGAGGCTTCTTCTTAACTAGGTTAGTTCATCTGTTAAAACCCACATGAACTGTCTTTTTTTTTTTTTATGCATGAGTATTCTGCATGCATACCTGCAGGCCAGAAGAGGGCATCAGATCCCATTATAGATGGTTATGAGCCACCATGTAGGTGCTAGGAATTGAACTCAGATCCTAAGGTCCTCTGGAAGAGCAGCCAGTGTTCTCAACCATTGAGCTATCTCTCCAGTTCCCATTTTTAGACTTCTACATTTTTTATATTTATTTTGTGGGTATTTTGCCTGCATGTATGTATATGTGTCACGTGTATGCCTGGTGTCTGTGGAGGTCAGAGGAGTGCTTTGGATCCTATGTTGATGCTGGAAATTGAACCCTGGTCCTCTGGAGGAGAAACAAGTAACTCTTCAGCCTTGTATACTATATTAAATGCCATCCTCTTGTAGGAAGGTGATAAAACAGCTTTCAAGAACTCTTTTCTCTTTTTTATTTCCTTTGGAACATTTTCCTCAGTATATAATTTACAGAGCAACAGAAGAAAACTACTGTTACACTAAAGTGGAGTTGATTGGCAGAACCTGCCTGTGGGTTTCTGTCCTTGGGCTGTCAGTTTTATATTTTCCCTGCTTATCTCTTAGTTTTACTGACTGATTTTAACTTCAGGATCCCTGATTCATCTCAAAGCCACCCTGTTTGATAACAAGGCTCCTTGTTTTTGGAATTGACGTACTTGAGTCAAACTCTGTGTCAGCTTCGCTGCCAGTAGGAAGGGCAGTGAAAACAGCCCTTTTCAAACAAGTGGTAGATTTCTGCTCTGCATGCTTATGGAGCGGGCTCTTGTAGACCAGGCTGCCCCAATTCTGCACGATTAAAATGTGGAGTATTGTAGATTAGACTGCCCTCAAACATCTGATCCTCATTTCCACCCCTCAGTGTTAGATTCATGGCATGGTGTACTACATGTGACCCTCCTAGATGTGATTATATGGTATTAATATTTCTGTTTTTATGAGCTTTTTGCTCTGAAATGGCACCTGACACTAATTTGAGAAAAAGTCATAGTTATTATTTAAAATACAGCACTTGGGAGGCAGAGGTCAGTCTGAGTTTGAGGGCAGCCTGGTCTACAGAGTGAGTTCCAGGACTACCAGATGACACAGAGAAACCTTGCATAAATAAATAAAAATAAAATACAAAAGCTTAGACCTCAAAATCAAATGCACTGTGTTGTTAATATTGGATTGGGATAGACATTTTTCTCTTTAAAAAGAGAAAAATTCTAACTGACTTATTAACTAAATTATTCATGCCAGAATAATATAACTGCTATTTAAAACGATGGCATAATATATTTACAATCAGAAATGAAAAGTACAAATATACATCATATAATGTATTAAGGGGAAACTTGAGAATAAATTTATTTGCACATATAAATACAAAATATTCTGAAAGATAAACGACTGGGCTGACTTCTGATGGTGCCTGGGTGACAAAGTAGAGATAAAGGTAGAATAAGGAATTTCAACATTGTACTCTGTACAGTTTTCTTTCCACTTTGTGTTCTAGTGGGTTTTTATATGAATTACTCCTTAAAATCTTTTGATTTTAAGATAGCACATGTTGCTTAAAACACTCAAATATAATACATCAGGTATTTTATTGTTCCTTTATATTATTACTTTTTTGCATTTAAAAATGCTATTTAAATATAAGATTATAATATAATTACATTATTCCTTCTAATTCCTCCTTCCAAACCCTCATATCTTTCCTTGATCTTTCAGATTTATGTCCTTCATTAATTATTGGCACATGAATATATGTATATATACATGCATATTCCTACATACACAAAATACAACCTGCTCAGTCTATAATGTTACTTACACGTGTTTTTAGTGCTGACCATTATTATTGGGAAATTAATTAGTGTGTTCTCCCTGGGGAAGACTTTGCCCTGGCTCTCAATTCTTTAGTTGCCTGTAGGTGTTGTTTAGGGTTGAGGCCTCCAGGGCTTTCTCCTGTCCACATTAGCGTGTCTGTTGCTATTGTCCTTATTCAGCTCATGTTTAGACAGTCATGTTGGTGAAACTTAATGGGTGTAGCTTCTGACATTAATAGGAGACACAATTTCACAGCAAACACCTTGATCTTAACATCTCTCGATCCCCTCTCCTCTGATTGAATATTATTTTTTTAAATTATAAAGAACTTACAAAGAAAAACCAGGATCTCACTCTCTAGTCCTGGCCTTGAACTCCTGGAGATTCTCCTGCTTCAATCTCATGAGTATGATATGTAATCATGATATGATTACAGGATTGAGCCACCATCTCTTTTATTGCATACTTTTCCTGTGGTTTTAGCTTTGCTGTTCTGTTTTTTAGGTCTACGGATCAATGGAGAGCTCATCTCTGCCTACCCACAGGTGGTGGTAGTGAGAGTTCCAACCCCATGGGTGCAGAGTGATAGTGATATCACTGTTTTGCGTCACCTAGAGAAGATGGGGTGCCGACTGATGAACCGACCTCAAGCTATCCTGAACTGTGTTAATAAATTCTGGACATTTCAAGAGTTAGCTGGCCATGGTGTACCTCTGCCAGACACTTTTTCTTACGGTGAGATCACAAATGAGAATGTATAATGTGGGGGGGGTGGGGTGGGAGTGGGGGGGGGAGGTTAGAGATGGCTCAGCAGGAAAGAGTGCTTGCTTCACAAACAGGAGACCCTTCCTGAGTTGAGATCTGCACTCATGTAAAGATGGGTATGGCCACATGTCCTATAACCACTGTGCTGTGGATGGTGGACAAGAAGATCACTGGGGGTTGCTGGTTATCAGCTATGCTTTGAGGGAGAGACCCTGTCTCAGGGAATAAGGCCCTTTCTAGTGATAGAGCAAGATGCCTAGCATCCTTCTTATGTATACATATGCTAATGCTGCATCATTAGTCCATATTTAACTTACAGAATAAATAACAGATGCTAACTGTGATATTTAAACAAGTATATCTCTGTTCCAATGAAACTTCGTTGTAATAGGCCAGAAATTAGCCCACAGCCCTTAGGTTTGAGGTAAAAGAAAGCTGTTTGGTATTTCTATTTAATGTCTTGTCTTTGTTACCATTTCATAACTTAATATACTATTTAAGAGTATGATTTAAAGAAGATGGGCATTATGCTTTAAAGTAGCACTTAACTGCTCTCTGAGAAAGGATCATTTTAAGTCAGTTTGATGTGATTAATGTTAAAGTGAAATTTATACAGCATAATAAAACTTAAAAGTTTCTAATCCTTTTACTTGATCACTTGCCAATAGCAAACATGTCATAAGAGTAACACTGCTATAAATATTATCTAATTTTCTGCCCTTCCAGTTGGAAAAGTGTTCTTTTCTTTTTTGATTTTTTGTTCTGAACTTGCTATGTAGAACAGGCTTTCCTCAAATCCTCTAGCCTCTGCTTCTCTGGTGCTTAGAATTACAGGATTGTGCCACTACATCCAGCTTTCTACAAATAATGTTCAGTAGAATGCTTAGAAATTTTATGAGGTTTTAAAATGCATTTTTCTTCCTATAAAATACTGAACCCCATGTGCATGCGTTGATATAATTACTGCCTGCTTTTAGTATTTACACAGGACAAAATTGGTGTGAATCCCTTAAAGATTGGCTTCCTAATGCTCTTGGGGTTTTAACTTGGGAAACAGTAACTGGCTCACTAGCCAGTAAACTGTACCTTCAGTGGTGAGGGATTAAGATTTTATAAGTGAATAATCTTAATTTCTGTAAATTGCAAATATTCATATTATACTGATGTCCCCAAGCCTTTTCCTAGCTTAAGTTTCTATCATGTTGATTCTTTTTTAATTATAGACCATTTTTTTCATCTTGCTTCTCCCCCCCCCCCCCCCCCCCAGCAGTGAAAACAGTAAGAAGCAAGTAAGATTAGCCAGGCGGTGGTGGCATGTATCCTTAATCCCAGCATTTGGGAGTCAGAGACAGACATCTCAGTTTGAGGACAGTCTGGTCTACATAGCATGTTCCAGGACATTCAGGGCCACATGGAGAAACTCTGTCTCAAATAACCAAAAACAAAGCAAAACCATGCTGGACCTAGTAGTACAGGGCAGTAACCCCAGCTGTGTGGAGGGAGGCAGGGGAAGCACATACTGAAGCACAGCTTGGACTGCACAGTGAATTCAGGCCAGCTTGGGCACCTTAGTGAAACTCTGTCTAGAGTGAACAATAAAAAGAGGTCTGGAGATACAGCCCAGTGGTCGTCTGTGCATGCTTAGCATGTATGAAACTGTGGGTTAAATTCCTGGTCCTACAAACAGAAGCACACTAAAACAGATGTGTTCATGGAATATTAAGAGGACTCATGTAGCTACAGCCATCTGATTGTCAGCAGAAAGAATGGCCAAGAACATGCATCACAGAAAACAGACTATTGCATTCTGGGAAATCTAGATAGTTACAAGTAAAAACTACTAAATCCCTATGTCTCACCCTGCAGAAAAATCATTGCGGGGTTGGGGGGTAGAGAGTTTATTTAGTGGGTTATGGAGTGAAAAGGAAAGGGGGAAGAAGAGAGAGAAGCAGAGACAGGGAGTGGGGAGGGGGAGAGAAAGCAGAAGTTACCTCTTCAGGAGAGACAAAGAGAGCAGGAAAATCATTTCAGAAATGGTTAGAATCTTAGTGAGACCTGAAACCATGTAATCACTAGAGGAAAACACATTAAGATAATAGGTGCAGATAATCTCTCACATACACTGTATTTTATGTGTGGGTGTTTTATCTGAATATATGTCTCTGTACCAGGTGAGTGATACCAGTGAAGATCAGAAATGGGTCCTCTGCAGCTGGAGTTTTGAACAGCTGAGAACTGCCGTGTGGGTGCTGAGAATCGAACTAGGTCATCATGAAGAGTAGCCAGTGCTTTTAATCACTGAGTCATCTCTAGCCCCCAAAGGTGCTGTTTTTAAGGGATGGTCAGTTTGACTTACTAGCCATCAGTCCTTTTCTTCACCTCCCTTGTCTTGTGCTTAAAGTTGGTCTCAGCATACTTAGTCTTATATTTATTTTTTTTCTCAAACCAGGTGGCCATGAAGACTTTGCTAAAATGATTGATGAAGCAGAAGTTCTGGAGTTTCCAATGGTAGTGAAGAACACACGAGGTCATAGAGGTATGTAATTTGATACGCTACATACTTTTGAAATCGCTTTTAGAAATAACAATTGAAGAACAACTAACAAGTGTTTGGGATCACAAACTTCTGGATTTCTACAAGTTCACTTTGAGATTTCTTTCTGGTTAGAGGTTATGGTAGAGATTTTACATGTATGACTAAATCTCAAGTTAGTGTTTTACTTGAGCTATACATATTCCCTTCATTTTTTAAATATGAACTCATTTGGCACTCTCCAAGGCACAGTGACATTAAAAGCATTTTAAATCTTAAAATATATTTTTCTAGGAAACCTAGTTAGTTGAATTTTGACTCTTCAAGTGTAGATGGAAGTTTATGTCCTGCCTGGTCCTGCAGCCATTCAGTCCCAAACAAAAACACAGACGTTTCTATATAAACTGTTTGGCCTGTTAGCTCAGGATTATTATTAACTAGGGCTTACAATTTAAATTAGCCCATAATTCTTGTCTGTCTTTAATGGTGTACAAGAAACCTGTGAACTTATTTCTTAGCATTAAGATTCATATTATCTTACTGATCATAATTAAATCATTTTGTATTTAATTACAGCAAAGAATAATCTAAAAAACTACAAGTATAATTAGTTCTGAAAGAGTATATTGGGACCCATGAATGTACATTTATCACTATCCACAGTTTTATGACTTAGATATATTGTATATTTTTATTCTTTTTAAATCCTAGGTAAAGCTGTTTTTTTGGCACGAGATAAACACCATTTAGCTGATCTAAGCCATCTTATTCGGCATGAAGCTCCATATCTATTTCAGAAATACATTAAAGAGTCTCATGGAAAGGATGTACGAGTCATTGTTGTGGGAGGCCGTGTTGTTGGCACCATGTTACGTTGTTCGACAGATGGAAGGATGCAAAGCAATTGTTCTCTAGGTAAAGACAATATAGCGTCTTTGTGTTGGTATGTAGCGTGACTGTGCTTTCCACTGTAGTCCTATCACTGTTAGTTGTCTTTTTATTGAATCAGATTTCACAGATTATGAATTGACTTTATTTTTTGTGATAACAATTTTTTTCATTTCTGTTAGATTTTCATGCTTGTATGTATATTACTCATGCACAGCCACTTTTGCTTTCCTTGCCTGCCTCCTTCTTCCATTGGTTCCCTTGTTACCTTAGTGCCTCTGCACTAAGTGCTTTAAACTACTGAGCCATCAAAATGGGCCTTGCCACATCTCCAGTGCTAGGATTAAAGGCACATGATCCCACATGTGGCTTTCATTCCCACTGTTAACTTGGGTTTTAGTAAACTATCTACAAGTTCTAGAAAATCTCTCCCTCTCTCTCTCTCTCTCTCTCTCTCTCTCTCTCTCTCTCTCTCTTAAAGTGGTTTTTATTGTTGGTTTCATTGTTATTTTGAGACAAGGTTTTTCTGTGTAGTCCCACCTACACAGTGTAGCCCTGGAACTCATTCTATAGACCAGGCTGGGCTTAACTCTCAGAGATTCATCTGTCTCTGCCTTCTGAGTGCTGGAATTAAATGTTGCATCACTACTGCCTGGCACGCTTTCTCTTTCTCTCTCTCTGTCTCTCTCTCTATATATATGAATATGTTTTGACTATGCACCATGTGCCCACAGAGACCTGAAAAGTGCATTGAATCCCCTGGAAATGCAATTGCAGTTGTGAGCTACCATGTGGGTGCTGGGAGTCAAATCTGGGTTATCTATAAGTGCTCCCAACTGCTGAGCCATCTCTCCAATGTCCCCTTCCCATTTCTCTCATTATTTCCTCTTCTCCATCTACTTATTTCCTTCTGGAAGATTTATTTTCTCATTCAATTTCCAGATTTCCTACTTTGTTCTATGATTTCTGGGGGTCGTTTGAATTGAGTTTATGGGCAGGGAAGTTGAGCCTACAACGGTTGCATCTGTATTTGAACATATACTATTGTTCCTAAGCAGTAAAGTTGTAACAACTCTTGAGTGTTTCCATTGTATTAGGTGTTGTACTATAGAGCTGATCTAAAGTATGCAGCAGGTTGTAGGCACTAAAACTCTTGAGGGCTTGTGACAGTTTGTAGGTTTTGGTGTCTGGAGATGGGAGGTTCTCAACCCTTGTGATGCTGAGGGACACTGTTTGGTCCATTTACAGGCAGGATACATAGAAAAGTTTAATGTCTAAGACTTCCTCTTGGAAGTTCTTTCTCACTTTTCTTTAATCTATGTTCTGGCATATTTAAAAACTTAATTTAAGCCTGTGGTGGTAGTGGATGCCTATAGTGCTAGCACTTGGGGACTGAAGCAAGGGATACTGAGTGTGAGGAAGTCTGAACTAAAGAATTATGATTTAGTCTTAATAGGACAAAATGAAACCAGTTTCACACTACTAGCATGTTTGGTTGTTTCATTAACCATTTAGAAGAGTTGCTAACTCTCTCCTCTTATTTGCCAGGTGGTGTGGGGATGATGTGCTCATTGAGTGAACAAGGGAAGCAGCTCGCTATCCAGGTGTCTAATATCCTGGGGATGGATGTCTGCGGCATTGACCTATTGATGAAAGATGACGGCTCCTTCTGTGTCTGCGAGGCCAATGCAAATGTAGGTTTCATCGCCTTTGATAAGGCTTGTAATCTAGATGTAGCTGGTATCATAGCAGACTATGCTGCCTCCCTTCTGCCCGCTGGCCGGCTCACCCGGCGCATGTCCCTGCTCTCTGTGGTGTCCACGGCCAGTGAGACTAGTGAGCCGGAGCTCGGTCCCCCTGCCAGCACTGCTGTCGACAACATGAGCGCCAGTTCCAGCTCTGTCGATAGTGACCCTGAAAGCACCACCGAGCGAGAGCTGCTCACCAAGCTCCCAGGGGGGCTGTTCAACATGAACCAGCTGCTAGCCAATGAAATCAAACTCCTGGTGGAGTGACTCCACCGGTAGATAATAAACCGACAAAACCCTTGTAAAACTGTCTCCCCTCACCCCATCCCCTTCCCCCTTTAACCAACTTGCAATGCTGTTCATGGAGAATGCTCAGGAGGTTGAGAGAAATGTATAGCAAGATTGGTTAGAAGAAGGGAAAATAGATGAGACCTCTATAGGATACTTACCTGACTTACAGATTTTGCAGAGAGGAAGAATAGGTGATATGCAGAGAAATGGCAGGCTCTCTTGCTAACCGGCTCAGTTACTAAAACCCTGCTCTTGGGCCATGAGGAACATGAAGGTTTCTTTTTCCATGGTCTCTTGCTTTTGTTTTTATGTAGAATGGTTTTGATTCAAGTACTAGTAGCATGACTTCACACAGTTTCAAGATTTGAAAAGAAGAAACATCTGCTTGAAATACAGAAATGTTTTAGTAACAATCTGAAAAGTCTGCCGTTTCTCTGAGCTAGCATTTAAACGCACATAGTTGTTTATGGACTCTTAAGGGACTCTGACCGGGATTTCTTATTTTCATGTTCGTCCTTGTTTTTTCCCCCTTAATTTGGGTGGGAGGGTAATGTGACTATATTCCAATAAAGACTTTTATTAACAAAATTGGCATGTTTGCATGATGAAAGGAAATGAACAGTATTGCAATGTCTGGTATACAGAGTAACATTCAATGTAGATAAAGTTACACTAGTTAAAGCTTGTGCATTGACTTGTATTTGTTAGTGTTTTAGTCTTTTTTGAAAGATATATGCTCTGTTAATGTTGCATTTTTAATACATGCTGGTAACATCCCTTGCTCTATGACTTCATCTTTAGCCATGGCCAAAGTAAACAAAATGCTACTTTTTTGGTTAATGAGACACTGACTCAACATACACATTTAAAAGTCTCCCTGCCCACTTTTCTCTTGATGAGTTGAACATTTAAAGGATAAGTACAGGGACATCATTTCCGGGAGGCAAGTAAATGTCATTAGGTGTAAAACTGAAATGAATTCTTAATGCTATTTATTTGTATTTGCATTTTTCACATTTTAGGAGAGTTTATATATATGTTGCATGCAAGTGTATGTGGTTTTTTTTTGTTATTGTTGTTTACACCAAACAGAAAGAATAGATTCTAGAGAATGGCATGATGGGAAACAGTTTTTCCTTAAAACAAAGAAAACAATTGAATTGCTTTAGACACTGATAGTGTAGATATACTCCCCTAAAGACAATAGGAAAGTAGATGTTTCTTAGGTTTTGTGTATGTGTGTGTGTGTGTGTGTGTGTGTTTATTTGTAGACTGGCATATGTTTTATTCCAAGGCTACACACTTTTCTTAATGTTATGGTTGTGCATTTTCTCTCTATACACTTAAGATTTGGAGGGAGGTAAAGTGGTTGTTTAATTGAGGTTTATTTAACGTGTTGAGTCTCAGAGCCCTATTCTTAAGCCTTCAGTACTGACCACTCTATATTCCTTTTCTGAACTGGTGAAAGCCCCCCAATCTGCATATAATTTGAGCCTTTAAGACAAGGATAAAGCTAATCCAGTGATTGAGTCTGGAAGATGTGTTAAGAAATGGAGATGCTACAGGTTCATCATACTTTTTAACAAGCAAGCTCCATCTCCCTACAAATTTTCTGCAGTTTCCCCAAGCTTTTCTTGCCTCTCCAGTGCTGCTTCCTTTCAGATGGACCTTGCCATAATTTCTTGGACACTACTTAGAGACTTGAAGGTGATAATAAAATGACTTTTATCCAGCTCTAACAGGTTTGATCACGATTAACTGTACAGTTTTCTCCCATTTTAAAAAGGAATGTAATGAAACTTGGTTTATCCCCATAGAATTAAATAATATTAAAATGGAGTGAAAGGTTGATTGTTGAAATAGAATAGTGCCTGTATTCTGTGAACTCTAATTGCATCTCAGAAAAGACACATAATGAGTTCTACTTTGTCTTAGGATACTCTCATTGCATCTGCACCATGTGATTTGCACAGGGTCATTGGGAGCCATAAGTACCTCTGATTCACTAACAGAATAAAAGTACTTGGTACTTTGCTGAATGATCATATTTTGGAGGGCTCATACTATTTGGTACAGAGAAATATATGAACAGTTGTGTAATCAGATCCTAAAATAGATTATCTGGTTGCCACATACATTATGATATACATGTAAATCCATGGTGGGATAAAGAAACAGAAAAATTATAGTTAATCTATTTTAAACCAAGCACTATTTGCCAGTTTTCACTGGTAGTTCACTCCCTGTTGATGCAGCCACTGGGCATCATCCATAGTGTCGAAATGCAGTTCTTCACCAACCATCCTCTGGGTACCAACACTCACATAGTAGAATGAACACAACAGGTAAAGATAAGAACATATCATTCTGAAGTGATAGTTGATTTATTCTTGTAATTGTTTTCATAACTCTTGTATAATCATCTATGAGATAAAATGTATTTATTAAATCTGTAATGTCAAAAATTGAATTACTGTAAATTTTTGATATGTTAAAATTGTAATTGTTGTATTTTTAATAATTCTGTTTTTATGTTATCATGATGAAATTTGGACTCAATAGATCTATACATATGAACTATACCATTTAAAATTTCTAATAAGTATTTTTTGTTTTGATACTTATAATTGGTCATTTCTGCTGGCATTTCTCCAGTGGACTTTGAAATCTTTCTTTATGCTATCAATAAGAAACCACCCTGGAACGCTAGAAACAAACCCAAGAGACTCAAGCACTTTCAGAGTCATCAGACTTTAAGAGAAAGCACTGAAGGCATTGGAAAAGGCCACTGACTACCAATCATCTTTTTCTCAAGAAGGAAAACAATGGGAAAGCAAATCTCAGTGAACCCCCAGCTTGGGGATGGGGGTGTTAGAGACATTGTGAAATCAAATCTTGTGTTATATTTTTCTCCTGGTTCGCTGTTTTTGAGAAGGTTTATGGGCTATTTGGCTGGTGAGACACGATCCCCTCCTAAGAAAATGTAGGTGCTCAGACAGGTAACCTCTGCTGCTGTTTGTTTGTCTGTTTGTTTTGGTTTATTTAAAATTTACTTTTGTGCGAGGATTTAAAAAAAATGTAATATATCACAGGATTTATAACCAGGTTCACTGCTTTCTTTTGTTTCTTAAAAAAGTTTCACTTAAAATATAATTTAGGTACCTTGGATTTTGAATGTTTTAATGATGGACAGAAGTCTGCTGTTGGAATCATCTAGTCTTCCAGATTAGATTTGCAATGTTTTCATTTCGTTTTGGGGTCTGTGTGGTATTTTATTTCCTTTATCCCAGTGTACTTTGCCATGCCTCGTGGGGTGGCTGCCTAACTCTAGTGAAATTTCAATGTTAAAAAGTTTGGTTTTTAAAGATTCCTTAATGTTTTACATTTTTAAAATTGTTCTTGAAGAAATATTCTAATTGCTTGCACTGTTACTGTTCTTTGCCAGCCTTTTCAGGAGCCAAAATATACAAATACAAACAAACAAACACTTTCCTTCTCCCCCTTCCTGATGCTGAGTGAGGAGTTTTGAGAGCTTTGGGGTCAGTGCCCTTCTAAACTTCCCCTCCCCCAATAATGCAGCTCTGCAGTGGGCACTCAGTGCAGCGGCTTGGACCAGCCACAGCCCAGCCTGCTAGCAGGTAATTGGAGTCTCCTTTATTTCCATCAGAAGGCTAACATTTTACTTTAAGTTTTCTTTCTGTTACACTTTAAAGGCAAGCATAAGTTTATCATAACTTGGTTTTTACAAATAAAACATAAATATAATAGCAAGTAATTTAAAGAAGAGTCTGGGATAAAGTTTGAATCGATTGGGATGAACTCAACATTTGGGATTTCATTTAGCCGTTTAGATACGCCATTCCTTGCATATATGTCTATAATTAAGTTTTCAGAGTGACTTTGGCTTTGTTTTGTTGTGGGTTTGTTTGTCTCTTCCTTTGTCCTACTCTGGCTTAAGCTTTTTCAGGGGTTGGTGTTCCGAATACACAGTGAGCTCACAATTTAAAGACATCAATTAGGAGTTGACAGGTATGGAAAACTAGAGTGTAAAGTAAATTAGGTTCTAGGTTTATATATATGGTTTAAAGTACACTGCAGTGTTGAGTTGGCCTTAGTGATGTGCAAGGGGCTTGTGAAACCAATAGAGCATTTTTAGTCACTTTACAAGTGGTCACGGTAGCCTTGCTGATAGAATAACCCTAACAGATAATATGTAAGTAGCTGAAGATTATCTTATTCTAAAGAGTATACATTGTAGGTTTGAACATATAGGGGAGTATTTCTAAAGCACAGCATGGTTAACCAGATTAGCCAAGGTGATAAAAGAAAGTTAGTGGCAGAATGGAGATACAGTTTGTTACAGTTTGGTAGTCTTCTGTGAGTCAGCTCTTTCCTTAACTATCCTAGCTTGCTTACTGTCTTCTCCTTTCCTGCCCTTTCGAGTGTTCCACTCTGAAAGATAGTTTTCTAGTTTACATTGGGCATATTAATCTCTATTAAAGGATTTCAGAGACAGTAGCCAGCATCATCCCTATGCTTGCATATTTTATCTGATAGCTTGTATTGTTCTCTACAAAGAATGTATACATTCAGCAGACCACTGGTTAGTGAATAAGAAACCCTGGCCTCAGTGCTCTCTCCAACTAGAGAGGCATGTAATAAATCATTAGTCTGTTCTGTGCTTCGGTTGACACATGATACAGGGACATCCTCTGGCATCTTGAACTGAACTGAAATTTACTTGTCCAGGAATCCCAGCTGCACTCCTGTAGGGATGTTATGAGGTGTTCGGAGGAGGACTCTCAGACTTTTGTTCTCTGGCCTATGAGCATGGCCACAATAGAATGTTTGCATTGCACAGGGTGTGGAGAGATTAAACAACCTCCATTCTGATGCCCCATTAGATACTGCTGACTTGTAAGGAATCGTAAGGAATCTTGATTTTATCGTACTCAAACTTACTAGGTAGACCTTATATAGTATATTTACCTGGCTGCTATTTGGGGTTGGGGGCACATGAGGGGTGGGGTGAACTGTTGTTGTTTTAGGTTTCAGTCAGACAGACATCCCTGTGCCTCAGTTCCCAGAAGCACAGCAGGCCTCTAGGAGCATCCGTGGGAACGGCGCAGTCCTGACATCACCAACTTCCTCCTGCTCAGGCTCATCCCATATGCAGAGGTCAAAAGGGTGGGGTTTGAGATGGGGGAAAGGAATGAGAAAGTAGAAGCCATGTCATTGCAGTGCTGCTGTTGACCAGACTTTTGGTGCTTGTGTCAGTGTTTACTGTTTAAGTTGGAAGTCTGTGCATACATGTATTTGGGGCGAAGGTAATGGGAGGGTGGAAAAAATAAGCCATTATTATTGCTAGTCTGTTCTTGGATATAGTTCCTTAGTGTCTAATATCAATTTTCAAATGTAGGCTCCAGTGACAAAGAATAATAGAAGTGAGTCATAGATTTTTAGAAAACATTAGACATTATGCTAAGTTAATTCCCAATTCTCTTATAAATACTATTTTGTTATTCTTTTCCTTCCCCTTAATTTTTCTATGTGTATATTTTTAAGGAAATGTACATTCATGGGCAGTCCTTTCTAAGGGACTTAATGATTATTAACTTTTACAAAACGAAATACCCAATGCTTATGGGCATACAAATGCTACCCTATTTTAAATGTAGGTGGCGTATGTGTTCGTGTTTTATTTTATTCAGAGCCATTGGGCAATAAGCAGTCCAGAACATTGAAATCTCAAGCAGGTAAAGCACCTAATACCCTTAGTTTCTAGAATTACTTTAAAGGCTTTATATTGGTGTGTCTTCTGTGGTTCTTTGGGTAGTCTCTGGATTTGGAATTTGTAGGAGCTGTAGACTACCTAGTTAACATTTAAATCATGTATTTATTTATAGCTTATAGGGATGCATCTGGAAGGAAAATAACAGAACAGAACGTGGCTCTTGTGAGATAATGACTGAGTGTATAATCGTTCCTCTTCCTTTCTTCCTACTTTTTAATTTTCCTAGCTTAGCATGAACATTGATCGTACATTATTTGATTTACTAGGATTGGGTTTTTTCCTGATTAATGAGGTGGGATGGGCAAGATATGGAAATGTTGATCCACATGCAAAAATATGAAATGTTAATACGTTTGCTTAATTTGAACAATAAGCAAGGCCTTTTTCTATATGCCCTTCTGCTGCAGCAGAGAGATAAACGGGTAGGTGGCAGCAGAGAAAGGAACTCTTGAGTGGCCATTGACATTAGCCCTGCATAGGAGAAGATAGCAGGTGACAGACATACCAAGTGGAGCGGGGAAGGCAGAGATGGAAGCTGGACTGGGATGGCTGCCTCCTTAACTCTGAATGGTAAGTTATTTTCAGCCAGAATGTGTTCTTAGACATACAGCAGTGCTGTGAAGGCACCTTGCTACAGCCTGTGGTGGGCTGTGGACACAGCATCTGTCATTCTCTACTAAGGTTGAATTTGATCTTGATTTTGAAAAATTACTAACACTTTGTAATTTGTAAAATTATCCCCAGCACATTGAAACACACTGACCTAATGATGGCAAACATGTAGATTTTATTTTTAAACTAGTTTATGGAATTAAGACCTCCCCCTTTAGTAAGAATGCTGTAGGGGCAGATAAAGAACATAATATTTAAGCCAAATGGTGGTGGTACAGGCCTTCAGACCCCGCACGTGGGAGGCCTAGGCGCTCTACATGCCTGTCCGTTCTTCTCTCCTGCTCATGTTTCTGAGTCTTTCCTCTTTTTCATTCCTTATTTGTGTTTGTATCTCTACCTCTGCTCTTCTTTCCTCTTTTCCCCTCTCATTTTCCTGTTGCCTCAAGATTCTTACTTATCAGTGTTGTCCTGCATTTCTTTGTTTTGTGACAGGGTCTCTACCTATCTACCTAGCCCTGGTTGGCCTTGAGCTCAGATCCTCACCTCTCTGCCTCCAGAGTGCTGGGTTTAAAGGCATTGTTTGTTTGCTTGCTTTTTTTGGGGGGTGGGGGAGTGGGGTTGTTTTCTTTCTTTGAGATAGGGTATATAGACCTAGCTGACTCAACTCTCTCTGCCTTCCTACGCCCCATGTCTGTCCACATCTGTTTTTACTTATTTTTAAGAGTTAAGGTATTAACACTGTGGCACTGCATTTCTGTATCCCAGCACTTGAGAAACAGAAGCAGAAGGAGCAGAAATTTAGGGTCATCCTTGGCTGCATTGTGAGCATTAACTATATGAGAGAGAAAAGAAATAAGAGAAAAGGGGAAGAGTAAAAACACCCAAATTTTAATAAGCAGTCATATTTACTGAAACAAGTATTTAATTAGGCTCTCTTTATTTCTGGTATAACTGAATGGTTTTAAATAATCTCAACAAATGAAAGACCAGTAGACAGACTCTCCAGACTGCTGCTGATCACACCCACTATAATAGAGTGAGTTCCTGGTCTAAAAATACCTGCCATAGACATTTGCAAAGATTATTTACTGTAGTCTGGAATTCAAGTTGTACTTCCAGCACCTTTACATGCTGGGCCATCTCTTAAGTTTTCAGGCAAGCCCTCTAACTCCTGAACTTGAGCTTTATCCCTGGAACCCATGGTGGAAGGAAAGAACCAGCTCCCTAAAGGACATTTGATCTCTTCATGTTCATGTGCTGGCACAATGAACACAATAATTTAAATAAATTACAAAAAGATTTCCCAAAATTACAGAGCCAGAGCTAAAACCCAACTCTAAAGTGTTATATTATACACCACTTGTTCTTTTTCATCCATCCATAGTCACGGCACATTCTCTGCAGTGGGAGCTGCTGTTCTTACCCTGGGTGCATGAGAGTCTTTTCAGAAAGCTTGCTAAGTTGATCTGTAAGGAACCCCTTCTTAATGTTTTTGTATGCATGCTTACTGGTTACAAGTGCTTTTACTTGGCTCAGCAGTTGAAAGTGCTATCTGTTCTTTCCAGACCTGAGTGTGGGCCTTACTCAGTCCTAGCACCCATGTCAGGTGGCTCTAGCTCCGGAGGATTCAACTGGCAGCACGCACACACACAAATATAATGAAAATAAAATCTTTTGAGTAAGGAAAGATACAAGGACACCTTTGTGCTCTCTAGAAAATCTGCTCAAAGGAGAAAACATTGATTCCATGAGACCTGCCTCTCTTCAGCACATTCCATTCTGCTCCAGAAAATGAGTCAGTCTGTCAGAGATAGTCTATTCTCAAGTTCTTTCTTTTCCTTATAGATTTTAAAACCAAAAGAGGGACAAGCAGAGTCAGTATTATGAATAATAACACAATAGTGGAACAACTGTCTAATATGTAGTGAATTTTGTTGTCTAAAAATTTGTTTAAATGGTATCACCTGTTTTTTTTTTAAATAAGAATTGCTCTAATGTTAAAATATCCTACTGCCATAAACAGTTATGTCCCAGTCAGTAATTTTGGCCTAGTATATAGGAATGTTAAAAAAATTTCAAGCCAGGCGGTGGTGGCGCACGCCTTTAATCCCAGCACTTACTCCCAGCGGGAGGCAGAGGCAGGCGGATCTCTGTGAGTTTTGAGGCCAGCCTGGTCTACAAGAGCTAGTTCCAGGACAGGAACCAAAAGCTATGGAGAAACCCTGTCTCGAAAATCCAAAAAGAAAAAAAAAAATTTCAAGACTGACAAAGACAACCAACTTGGATATTAATCTGAAATAAAATGTATTGTGTATATACATTATTGAAAATTTAGGGGACAAGAGTAAGAGAATTAAAAAATTTTCATTCTTGCTTCAGTTTCTTGTGCTGGTGCAGTTCTGACTGCAGCAACACAGTTAGAGACCAGCTTTGTGAGGAAATAATACTGAGCAGGCAGTGGTGGCGCACACCCTTACTCCCAGCACTTGGAGGCAGAGGCAGGCGGATCTCTGAGTTCAAGGCTAGCCTGGTCTACAAGAGCTAGTTTCAAGACAGGCTCCAAAGGTACAGAGAAACCCTGTCTCTAAAAAAAAAAAACCAAAAAAAAAAACCAACAAACAAACAAAAACTAATAAAACTTCCTAGTTTTAAAAGATTATGACTGTTCAATACCCTCAGGTTGTATTTGTTTTGTAAAAATGTAAGTTATTCATGTTGGATATCTTTTTTAAGACAGTTTTTAAATTTTATTTTGTGAGCATTGATTTTTGCCTCCTTGTATGTCTGTGTGTGGGTGTGAGATTCCCTGGAACTGGAGTTAGAGACAGTTGGAGCTGCCGTGTGGGTGCTGGGAACTGAACCTGCATCCTCTAGGAGAGCAGCCAATGCTCCTAACCATGGAGCTCTCTCTCTCCAGCCACCCTGCTGCACATCTTAGTCTCTGAGAAAACATACTCAGCTAGATAATTTGCTTAAAATAAGTTACAAACTGTAGGAAAGGAAAAAAAAAAGCAAAGTGAAAAACAAAAGCTGTAGTACTGTGCTGCTTGTATCCTCTAGGTTTTGTGAGCTTCCGTGTCATTCATTGTGTTGCTAAGTACCAGGGTCTTGCAGGCTGTCCTGCCTCACTCAGCATCCACTTGCTGAGATTAAAGGCGCACTGCGGCGTGTGGCCTGTTGGCAGTATTATGTACGGATCAATATACGTATTCAGGGATTTAGAATAATTTCTCCTGGGGCTGGAGAGATGGCTCAGAGGTTAAGGACACTAACCGTTCTTACAGAGGTCCTGAGTTCAATTCCCAGCAACCACATGGTGGCTCACAACCATCTACAATGAGATCTGGTACCCTCTTCTGGCATGCAGTCATACATGGAGGCATCACACACATAATAAATAAAATCTTAAATAAATACAATTAAAAAAAAAGAATAATTTCTCCTGGAGAAAATCAAGAGAATTTGGGAAGGAAGCCTGTATTTATAGTAATAGGTATGTTCACTAAAATTTTATGAACATTAAATACTTTCTAAGTTATAGAGTATATATTTTTGTTAACTTGGATTACTAAGTTAAAGAATGGAAATAACAAAAATAACAAAAAAAAGTTTTGTGATATATTGTAATGTTGGTTGGCATCCTGTCTTTTCTTTCTCTTTTCTCTTATCCCTGTGATAAAGACTATAAAATCTGATTTAAGTGAATTTTGTTTTTCCCCAGGTTTTCTTGAAATAATCAGTGGTATTCTGGATGAAGACAGATTTGAGTTTGCTTTTTACAATGGAAGAATAACACAAAATAAGAAACCAGTAGTTCTACCTTGTTGCAATCAGTGTGGTTTCTTTTTCTAAAATAAAAGCACTGAATGGAAATGAAACACGTGGAGTGTCGTGTTCTTTTAGCAGCTTGTATACCCACGCCATCATATGTGTTATTCACCTAGTCCAGGATTCTAGACTCAACTGAGTTTTTCCCATGAGTTGTCTTCTGCAAACAAAGTCTTGCATTCTTTAATTCTGAGTGAGGACACATAAGCATGTACTTGGATGGTGTTGGATGGTCTCCTGAGTCCCTTTCCTTCAATACTGAAGATCCGAAAAGCATGACAGCTAGCCACTGACTCTTACCTTGACCTCAGTCTGAAAATGGTGATTCCGCCCTTAGGAATCTGAATAGGAAACTGAGTTTCTGGGAAGTGTTTCCTCCCATTTTATAATCATCTCTGGGATGAAAGGTGTGCACTACCATCATTAAAGGCTTGTGCCACCCAGTTTCTAAGGCAGCTAGTGTGCCTACTGGGATTAAAGGTGCATATTACCATAACCTGGTCTGTAAGGCTGGCTAGTGGGACTGTTTTACTCTCAGATCTTCAGGCAGTCTTTATTACAAATACAGTTGAAATGCCACTACACAAGCTGAATTGTGGCAGTTGGTTGATCTCATTTTTTTAAATTATTTGTGTATGTGAGTGCTCTGTCTTCATACATACCAGATTGCATTACAGATAGTTGTGAGCTACCATGTGGGTGCTGGGAATTGAACTCAGGACCTCTGGAAGAGCAGTCAGTGCTCTTAACTACAGAGCCATCTCCAGCCCATCAGATTTCAATCCCAACGATTAATGGTAACAAGGCCTTTGGACACATCACTTCTCTGTGACGTAGAGAAAGTAAATGAATTTTGTTAGATTAATATGTAAGGATTACTAGGATATGGTATATCACTTCACCTGTTGTTGAGTACTTAACACTGTGAGTCTTCTGCATTTGATTCTTGACAACTAATTCAAAACTACTGATTAATTTGCCAAAAATTCAACATGGGGTCTTGCCCTTATTGGCAAGCACTCTACCACTGAAATAAATGTATTCCTAAAAACCAAATTTCCTGTTGTGGAAAAACAATGTGATAGTGAGGCGCCTGTGTACTGGTTACCCAACCAAAGCAGTTCAAGCAAAGGTGTCTGTGTGTTAATGGCTTACAGTCCAAAGGGATGCAGTTCGTCACAGCAATAAAGGTGGATGTGCTCTTGATGGTGCATCCTCATCAGGAAGCAGATACAAGAGTGCTGGTGTTCCTTTGCTTTTTATTCAGTCCAGGACTCTGTTGGAATGTGCTGCCTGCATTTACATGGGGGAACAGGGTAGGGGAGCTTCTCACCTCAGTTTACCCAATCTAAGAAAGCCTTCACAGGCATGCCTGGAGGTTTAGCTGTCACCCAACTATACACATCAGTGGAACCTTAAAGTAGCAGGCCTTAATTAGCAGTCCAGTGAGAAGTATCCCAGAACTAGCAATATCACAGCCCTGAAGGTATTTCTCATGTAGCTTCTGTAACCTTACTAGATTGAGACTGGGGTTGCCACACTTTTGAGGTATAAAAGTCCTGTTTTGAAGAAAGAAAACATACCTGTTAAGGAATAAATACGTTGAATGTCTTATGAAATGACCCATAATTTGAGACCTGGTAGCACAGCACAGTCAAAAAGGAATAAAGAGTTGATATGAAGTTAGCCCAACTGAATCAGTAAATCGGAAGCCTCCCTTTATAATAAGATACCTGAGGATAAGCAAAAAGCAACAAGGCATCAAATCTCTTCAGTGTTCTGAAGACTAATAAAACAAATCAGTAAATGTCAACTCCTTCACTATTGACTTTTGACAGGTTCAGGAGGGTTTTGCTTGCTTTTTGTTTTTGGTAGTTTCCTATAGTCAGCTCCAGTTGCGCAGGAAGACTATATAGATCAAGAGCAAGGCCTCATCTGATAGGTGCCAACGTCTCTCAGCTTGTTTATGACATTTACACATGGCGTAAGAGTGGTAATGAAACTCTGGGTAGTCGAGATAGTTTTGAGGAAAAGGAAAGGAAAAAGCAGCAGACAGGAAAGCTTTTGGTGTGCAGACCTCATGAGCCTGCTAGTCTGAGCAGGTTACCCATGAGCTGCTGCAGTGCTGCCTGGGTAGGAGCCTGACTGGTACGCTGTAGGAACCCTTGTCTGACCTGTGAGCCAGATGTGCTAGTTCCAGCCACTCTCCTTTGGAGAGACTAGGTGGTACAACCCCATGGCACCTGTGTTCCACTCCTTAACACCACACAGGCCTGCTTCACACATTTTGGGAGCCCCTTATGATTTCATGTTTTTTTTTTTTTTTTTGAAGTTCCCTGTGTCATTACTACTGACATTTTTTGTGCATTTAGGATTTGCTGCATACAGTTCGATTTGTAAGGCCTACTCAAATTTAGCAGTGTCACCCAATCATTGAATATAAAATGTTGAAGCAGTGTTTCTGGGTAGGTTGTGGCACCTCTCTAAGGTAGAGTGATCCACCAGGTGATGTTTGCTTCCTAATAGCAAGTGATGGGAAGTGTAGTCACATCTATTTTTAGGGAGTCTTTGCTGGAAGACGCTTGACCTCAGGCCTCCTAAAGACAGAGGAATGGCAGAACCCTATATCTTTGTAGACTTTACAACTACAGAAACCACAACTCAGCAGGGTTTCCATTTTTGTTAGCTACCTCATGCTCATTTTACAGAGTTAACACATCACAGACAGACTGGATTTCATAATCTGATATCCAAGGAGCTTAATGTCCCAGGAGCAGTAGACTAATGAAACAGCAGATAGTCCCATTCCTGTGTATTCTAGTCTTTCCTGAGTTAATTCGTCTTTCGGTGTTCTGTGTCATGGTGCCTCCTTGCATCATCATTCTTGTGCTTTGGGCCATTATCAGGTGAAATAAAGGTGTTGGAGCAGCCAGCTAGTCAGCAAGAGAGCGGCCTCCCAAGTGAACAGAAGTATGCTCGGCATTGGTATGCACTGAAAGTGGCTGCTTAGGGTTGGCCAGCAGAACAGCACAGAGATGTGCAAATTAAAACTTACGAAATGGAGTGTAGTTCTGTGGTAGAGCACACACTTCGTATGTACAAGGGTCTGGGTTTCATCCTCAGTGTTCCAAAAATAATAACAAGACCTAGGAACTGTTGGCTGCATGGGATATTCCAGTTAATACTTTCAGGCCAGTTGGTTGTAGGTGGTTGACTAGAATTGTAGATGACAGGGATATTCTGTGGGACATATTTGAATATCAATGATGTAAAGATAACCCGTCCCCTGGACAAAACTAAATATTGGCTATGCCTCAGGGGTGGATACATTTCTGGTTCTCTTTCCTGATATGAAAAATAAAACCCCAAATTTACTAGATTTACTAAAGCAAAGACTTTCTGTGTATTTTATAACTGAGACCTAATATTACCCTCTTCTGTGCAAGTACTGGCTCCGAGTAAACCAACAAATTGGCCTTTGGGTACTGAAGTAGATCCAAAAAATGGTTGTTAGACGCCACCCCTAGCCAACTACATTTCTTATAATTTATTTTGTTTTTGAATAAATAAACTCACTGTGAATCTCAGACTGATCTGAACTTGGTTCCATAGACCAAGATGGCCTCAAACTCACAGAGATCTGCCTCCAGAGTGCTGGGATTAAAGGTGTGCACCAACGTTCCTGGCATATTTTTTTTTCTTTTTTTTCTTTGTCAAGACTTTTAAATAAAGGGGTTGGCAAAACTGAATTGGTGGTTAAGAGCAATTGCTGCTCTTGCAGAGGACCTGAGTTCTGTTTCTAACAGGCGTTTCAGGTAGCTTACAATCACCTGTAACTCTCAGTCCATAGAGTCAGATGACACCCACTTCTGACCTTCAGAAGCACTGTATTGTTGTAATGGGAGCAGCAGGGCTGTGTCCCCAGCACCCCGGCCACCTGCTAGCTTATGCCCCGAAATAATTACACGGACACTGTATTCTTTTAAGCACTGCTTGGCCCATTATATCTAGCCTCTTCTCGGCTAACTCTCGCACCTGGACTAGCCCATTTCTAATAAAGTGTGTAGCACCTAGGTGCGCTTACCGGGAAGATTCTAGCCTACTGTCCATCCTGGGCCAGAGCTTGATCGCATCAGCCTCAGAGATCCACCTGTCTCTGCCTCCCAGGCATTGGGATTAAAGGTATATGCTACTACACCTTGAACTCACAGAGATCTGTTTGTCTCTGCCTTCTAGGCACTGGGATTAAAGGCGTGTGCTACCACACCTTGAAGTCACAGAGGTCAATCTCCCTCTGCCTCCCAAGTGTTGAGATTGAAGGTGTGTACTACCACACCCAACTACTCTCTTCTTTGAGGGGGCACCTGCTCTCTGAGGCAGACGTCGATGCAGCTAGCCACCAGGTCAGACATGCTGAATCTTTCCTGGTAAGCGCACCTTGTGGTGCTACATAGATTATTAAAAATGGGTTAAGAGGCTGAAACTAATGGGCCAGGCAGTACTTAAAAGAATACAGTGTCCGTGTAATTATTTCGGGGCATAAGCTAGCAGGTGGCCGGGGTGCTGGGGACGCAGCCCCGCCGCTCCCATTACAACACTGTATCACACACACACAAAGATTGATTGATTGATTTTTCAAGACAAAGTTTTTCTGTGTAACATTCGTGGTTGTCCTGGAACTCACTCTATAAACTAGACTATCCTCAAACTCAGAGATCCACCTGCCTCTGCCTCCTTAGTGCTGGGATTAAAGGCATACGCCACCACCACCTGGCAAAAATTTTAATTGTGTAATTTGGTGTTAGGACAAGATGAAATCTCCATGGGTCCTCTGCGTGTGTAGTATCATCGTTGCCCATATGCACAGGTTGTGTAGCAGGTTTCTAAAACTGGGAGAAAGAAGGTGGAGTCAGAGAGCAGCCATGGAGCAGCCAGAGGAAAAAGATGCGAGCCACCAGCTGGAACCTTGCTGGTAGACCACGAGCCTCATGGTGAAATATAAAATAATAGAAATGGCTTAACCAAAGATAGAAGAGCTAGCTAGCAATAT